AATTGCATACCTTGCTCTTCTTGAACTAGTACCCCACTTACCGCTATCTCGGACACTGCCAAATATAAGTAAAGCTTTTCATCCACCTTCGGAGTATGAAACAGATGTGGCCTCGATAAATATCGCTTAAATTCCTCCAATGCTTGTTCGCATTACGGGGTCCATGCAAAATCCTTTTTCTTTTTGAGCAAGGAAAATAACTTGTGGCTTCGATCCGGTGACCTCGAAATGAATCGAACCAAGGCGACTATCCATCCTGTTAACCTTTGTACGGCTTTCACACTATCTACGATAGTGATATCTTCGATGGCCTTGATCTTGTCGGGGTTGGTTTCGATCCCTCGATTTGATACCATGAAGTCAAGGAACTTGCCCGAACCGACCCCGAAGGCACATTTTTCTGGGTTAAGCTTCATGTTGTACTTCCTCAAGATTTTGAATGTTTCCTGCAAATGAGTTACATGGTCCTCTGCGCGTAGGGACTTAACCAACATATTGTCAATGTAAACTTCCATTGATTTACCTATCTATTCCTCGAACATTCTATTAACTAAGCGTTAGTATGTAGCTCCAACAATTTTTAGCCCGAAGGGCATTATATTGTAACAGTATGTTCCAAACTTAGTGATAAACGAGGTTTTCTCTTGGTCTTCCGGGTTCATCTGAATTTGATTGTACCCGGAGTAAGCGTCGAGAAAGGTAAGGATCTTGTGGTCGGCCGTGGCTAGATCATGTGATCGATGTTAGGCAGTGGAAAAGAGTCTTTAGGGCATGCCTTGTTTAAATCCTTATAATCTACGCACATTCTAAGTTTGTTCCCCTTTTTAGGGAATACAACTACGTTGGCTAACCATTCGGGGTATTTTACCTTCCTAATAGACCATATTTTAAGAAGTTTAGTTACCTCATTCTTTATGATTGCATGGCTCACCTCGGACTGGGGCCTTCTTTTTTGATTTATTGGTTTGAACCTGGGGTCGAGGCTTAGTCGGTGTGTTGTTATTTCTGGTGAGATCCCTGTCATGTCTAAATGGGACCAAGAAAAACAATACATATTATCGGTAAGAAATTGAATGAGTTTTTTCTTGAGTTCGGGGGTTAACCCCATTCCCATGTATACCTTTCTCTCGGGCATGTACTTTATCAATATGACCTATTCCAATTCCTCGACCTTTGACTTGGTTGCATCTGACCTTTGGGAACAACGAAAGTTCGAGGAGTAAGGAAATTATCTTCTTCTTCGATTACTTGTTCTTCCGGTTCGGTCGAGGCTCGGGATGGTGATTGCTATTTGGTCGTTTGCTTATCTTTGGTGCTCAATTTTTCTGAGGTCGAAGGCATTGGTATCGGTGTTATCTCATCGACTGCAAACATTTCTCTTGCAGCATGTTGTTCTCCTTAAACTGTTTTCTCACCATCCATCATTGGGAATTTCATCATCTGATGAAGATTTGAGGGTACTTCCCTCATGCTGTGGATCCACGACCTCCCGAGTAGCGCATATATCTCATTTCCCCTTCGATGAAATGGAATTTTGTATCTTGGATGGTCCCGGCCACGTTCACTAGTAGGATTATTTCCCCCTTCTTTGTTTCACTCGCCATGTTGAAGCCATTTAGAACTCGAGATATAGGTACAATTTGGTACTTGTAGGCCAAGCTGCTCTATGACCCTTAATCTGATTATGTTTGCTGAGCTACCTGGATCCACTAGAACACGTTTAACTTGAATTTTGTTTAACAAAATAGAAATTACCAGGGCGTCATTGTGTGGCTAAGATATGTCTTCCGCTTCCTCATCATTGAACTATAGGACGCCCTCGGGCACATAACTCCGAGTCCGTATTTCTCTGGTGATTGACACCTTGGTGCGTTTGAATATAGGCCCTTGTGGAACGTCGACACTGCCAATGATCATATGAATTACATGTTGCATTTCTTCCTGCTCATTTTTTCTATTTGCGTCTCTTTCTTTGAAGTGATTCTTAGCTCGATCACTGAGAAACTCTCGAAGATGACCCTCGTTGAATAATCGAGCTACCTCCTCCCTCACCTACCTGCAGTCTTCGGTCCTATGGACATGTGTCCCATGATATTTACACATCAAGTTTGGATTTCTTTGAGAAGGATCGGTTTGTATAGGCCTGGGCCACCTGGTATCTTTGATCCTTCCAATAGCCGATACGATCCCCGATGCATCTACACTGAAATTATACTCCGACAGTCGAGATGCTTCTACAGGATCGGTATGTTTATCAAAACCATGCTTACTCATAAGTCCCCGAGAATTCTGTCCTCGATCGTTTCTCCGATCATTCCGAGGGGGATTACGCTCCGAACCGTTATTTCTTCGCTCCTAGACATATGGATGATATTGTTCCCTATCTGATCTTGGTTTCCTGTCTGTATCCCTCAGGGCCTTAACCATCAATCTATTTGGATGAGCTGAGCCCGAGGGGGTTCCCAGCTGGTCGTCTTCGACCCTGATCTTTGATTGATAACGATTATGTACATTTGCCCAAGTCACAGCTGGATACTCAACCAAATTTTGCTTTAACTATCATGATGCAGTCGAACTCCGCTCGTTCAACCCCTGCATAAAAGCTTGCACGGCCCAATCATCCGAGACCGGTGGTAATTTCATTCGCTCCATTTGAAATCGAGATACGAACTCTCTTAGCATCTCATCATTCCTCTGTCTAATCTTAAAAACATCTGATTTCCTTGTCGCAACCTTTATAGCCTCGGAGTGTACCTTCACGAAGGTGTATGCTAACATAGCAAACAAATCAATAGAATTCGGCGGCAAGTTGTGATACCAAATCATCGCTCCCTTTGACAAAGTTTTTCCCAAATTTTTTCAACAAAACCGACTCGATCTCATCATCATTTAAGTTGTTTCCTTTAATACCGCAAGTGTATGAGGTAATGTGTCATATTATCATCATTTAAGTCGTTTCCTTTAATCCCGCAAGTGTACGAGGTAATGTATTCATTAGGATCGGTTGTCCCGTTGTATTTAGGTATATCGGGCATACAGAACTTTTTAGGAATGGACTTCGGAGCCGCACTCGGAGGAAATGGTTTTTGTACGAATTTCTTGGCATCCAAACCTTTCAAGTCCGGGAGTGCTCCCGGTATTTGATCAACACGGGAGTTAAAAGTCTTCACTTTTTGTCATTATCCTCAATCTTTTTCTCCCCCGACTCGATTCTCTTGGTGAGTTCCTCGAGCATCCTCATAATCGTGGGATGAGCCCCCGAGTCATTGTCGTTCGATCTCTCTGGCACTGGTTCAGTTCGGCGAGTGACTTCTAGTTCGACCACACTTGGAGTTTTATGCTGACTTTGAAGCTGAGCGATAGCAATTTGTTGAGCTTGTAACATCTCGAATATTACTTGGAGGCTAACTCCCCTGTCTCCTATACCCTGTGTTCATTGGCCACCAGATCGGACTTCCCTGCGTACACTTCCCTCGGGATCTGCGCCTAAATCCGCATTCAAAATAATATGTGAACTAATATCAACCTGTTCCCATAAAATCCAAGACCATCATTGTCGTGTACGGGTGCGTTTTGTGAATTTGACATGTTTTATCGTGAGAAAAGAAATTCTTGACAAGAACAAGTGTGAAAATAACGTGTGTTATTAGAATTAGTACTGAAATAACCACTATTAACTTTAGCCCCACAGTGGGCTCCAAATTATTTACCTCAAAAATACGAGTAATAATTAAACTTGTTTATGGTTTTAAAGATACGCGATTTAGTTCAATACTAATTAATAACCAAAAATCCAAACGTATAAATTAAGGAAGTAAGTAGAATCAAATCAGTGTTTAAGCTAATCTCGACCTCGAGTTGCAACGGCCTCGAGGTAGGTTCACAAGAACAGTACAATAAAAATAATAAAGTTAAAGAACAATTCTGATGAGTAATGAGTGAGAAAGTAAGAGTGTATATTCTTTTGCCAATGATTGATGATGGTTACAAATGATTGGGGTCTCCTTTATATAGTAGGGGAACTCTAAACAAGGTGCATTTATATTTACTGTAAGCAATCTTATTGGTATAGACATCTAACCGCCTAATACGGATTCGTACTAACTTGTACGAATCTATTCTGGAATTTACGCCGTGATCTTAGGGACGTGGCAGAAATTTTGCTCTTCTGTAACAAACCCGTAACGGCATCATCTCGGGGTTGGTCATACTCGGCTTCGGTGCTCGCCGTGCACTCCGATCTTCGAACCCTGTACTTTGTCATCGGGCTTGGGCTTAGTCCATCGGCCTCGAACTCGGCCCATCCTGAACTCAGGCTTGAAGCAACTTATCGAGGCCATGAAATCGAGCATACCTGTTTTCGACCGTACACAAAGTTATTTCCCAACCAATCGAGCCCTCCAAGTGTAGTGATGGAGGGTTCAATTGAATCTCCCCGCCATAACATTGGTCTCTGCATACCGGGTAAAAATCAAGTTTTTTAGTTATATATAAATTGTCGATCAGCTTGACATAAGAGAATATGCTAATATAGTAATAAAGAGAGTTCAAAACATAATTTTAGACGAGTTTAGATCCTATATATGATGTATTAGTACTTTTTAAAAAATTCTTTTGTATAAATTTCTATCTCTTTCTCTGATATCATGTAACATAAACATATACTTAATATGTGTTATATTAAAATAAAAATAAAGTTGTTTTGTACCAAATTCATAAAATAATTATTCTATTTATAATTTTAACGAATTTAAATTATAATTTATAATAAGGTATAACGTAATTTAAATTATAGGCAAGATCTAGGTTAAGAATTCATGTATACTAAAAAGATATTACACCGATGAGAGAACTAAATGTTAAGGGCAAAATAAATTCTTACTTATTAGAAGAGGGAACACAAGCACCTCTCCGTCAACGTGTGTGTTTCCTTGAATTTTTCTAATTTGTCTGGGAGTATTTTTGTAATTTCATTAATTTACAGCTCAACCTTATAGCTGCTGACTCTTTCTGCCGTTGCCAACACGTGGACTCCCAATTCCTCAAAGCTAAAACTCATTCAACAGACCTTGTTAGAAGCATCCACTTCCACGTTGAGCATCAATTGCCCCAAAATCCACCAGACCTCGCCTAATAATTTAGCGAAATTAGAGCAGTTAGCCTTTTCCGATTCACATCTACCATAAAGAGCAGGTTTATTCCAATCACTCCAGTATTTCATTTTATTTATGCTTTCTGTTTAATTTTTTCTTTTTCTGCAAAAAGATCAGATCTTTGGGGTTTTGACTTGATTAGCGATCTTTTCTTCAGTTTAGTTTTAAGATTTATTTCAGAAAGGTGAAAACAAACTGAGTTTAGATTTTGATTTGTTCTCTGTTTTTATTAATTTATTTTGGATTTCTTATGTGAATTCTAAGCTCTCTTTATTTTATTTTTCTGCTATTCTACTTTATTAAAAGATTATTAGAAGTTCATCAACATGTCTGCTTGCCGGAGGGCAATTTCGTCTTCATGGTGTTATTGTGCTATGAAAAATTCCTGTGGTATCCCTGTACCGGTGGATTTGAGATGTTTAGAGAAAGGCTACATAGGTAATTTTGCAAGCTAACTTGACTATCACCGCTTAATTCTCTGCAATACCAAGATTTTCCTCCGCATCTCCGTCGTCTCTTTGTTTAGATTCTCTTGGCTTCTCTGCTGATTTCTGTCTTTTTGCATGTTGCGCATCAATTTCTATTATATATTGCAGGATAGTTTAATAGGAGATTGTGATTATTATTGAGTTTTTGCAATTCTATATTTGATCAAGATAATCACATGATTAAAAGGTTAGTTTTACTGTGTTGTTTCTTTTCCTTCGTATGGGTGTCTTTTGTGTTTTGTTTCGGTTCTTGTTGGATTGTTCGAATATTCATTATAATTTTATCTTAAATTTTTGTGAAACTCAAAAAACTGCTTAAAAAGAAATTGGGGTTTCCACGTATTTGAAGGTTTTATCATTTTTAAAAATTGGGGCTTTCATAATGGATGATCCTGTAACTTTCTTGGATTTGACTTTTGAGCTACAATTTTAATGGGCTTCTGGTTTATTTTAATTTTTCCCTGTATTTACATGAAAAAGTTGATTTAGTCCTTCATTATTTGGAAGTTTTGTATTATCACTTCTTATTTCCCATGCCGAATTTTGCCTTCACAAACTATGAGATTTTAAGTTCCTTCAAGTGAGATTGGCTTTACTATCGCGTAAATAACGTAAGAGAAAAGAACACCTACGATGAATACTATTTCTGAACTGCGTAAATTGTGCTAAGTCGTAGTAGTTATAGTACTATTGTCCAATTAATTAATCTGCCAATTGATGTGCATAATTGTAGTCCGGAGGAGACGATATAGTGCAAATACATATTTCAGCTTTAAGAGCAAGAATTAGAGTTATTGCTATAACTACACTTGCGATAAAAAAAGTCACTTCTACGCTTTTATCACTGAATGAGATTACATTCTCTATTTTACATAACCAACACCTTTGAAAACATCTAATGGATTTTATTTTATTCTATTCGGACATTGTTATTCGTCCATTGGTCGAGCAGGATTTTCAAAGCTTGCAGCAATTATTTCCTGAAATATTTTGTTTGGATTTACTATCTGAATAATTACTGTGCACGTATTCAGTTACATGTTTGACCTGCATTTTAAAGTTGCTTAGTTATATATATATAATTATTTTCTCTCTGTGTTGCTGAAGTTGGACTGGCTCAATAAATTTCTTGAGCACGTGTCTTTATTTGGACAACGTACTCTTCGTTTCTTAAAAGTATCTTGAATAGGTAACTAGCTTGTGCTAAACTATTTTGTATAAACAAGCTACTTACAGGATTGCAAAAATATTGTTGGAGAGCGAATTTCGAAGTATAAATTTAACTCTGCTGAATTTGAAACATCGAATGAGGTTCTTTACCTACTTTCCAAGCTTAGTGGTTTCCTAATGGCCAGAAATAAACTTAGTTGGTATTTTTGTTTTCAGATAGTGTTCCGACTTGCTAGAAATTAGACTGTGGCATAAGATACTGAAGATGTTATTCATACCTGTCTTCTTTCCATTTGTATTGTAGAAAAATATTAGATGACAATTGTTAAGTGGTCTTGATGGTTTCATTTAGCAAATAAATGTTTTGCAAAAGTCGCATGATTAGTGCAAGTTATGGACGAATTTGACTGTATTGAGAAAATTCGATCAGTAAAGTTTATTCCTTTGACACAAAGATACAAACTAGCCAACTAAAAGGTCTTGTACATATAAGAATTTCATGTTTTTTTTTTTTGAGAAGAAATGGCTTACATCTGAAATTTTAATGAAAGTGGCATATATTTACTTAAGCTTGGGCAACCTTCTTGAGATATGGTTTTACCAAGTTCACTTAAGTTATCAAATGTAAATTGGTATGCTCCTACAGTCACTACCAATACGTCTATGTACATTAGTTATGTTATTCATCTACTAATACTCTTAGAAAGTTTCACTTGATTCTGCTTCAACAATATAAAAGTCGTCATGAATATTTTCATGGATCCTCCTTTTAACTCTGTCTTCTACCTTGTGCATATCAATCAGGCTATTATTATTGAAGTCGGAGATTCTAGGCAAGCTCGTTTTGATTTTGGATGCGGTACATTGGAATCCTGAAGCACCACCATGAACGTTATTGGGCGTCCGCCTGTGACATACAGTCTTCCTTTCTGATGAATTAGTTCACAACACGCTCAGCTCGATCTACTTTTTGACGAGCTTATATGATGTTGGAAATTGAATTTTAGAAGGCAAAGAATAAGAACTTTCTACGCTTTGCTTTTGGGTCTTTGCAGATATTATCACATGTATTTTTATTTACAATTGTAATATTATTTATATCTCTCTTTAGTACTTCCAAAAATAATAACAAAATATTTAAAAAATTTGTGAGATATCCTGACAAATGAATGGCCAAATATTATAGTGGGAATCAGAAGTACACAATATAAACAATGTAGGTTTTGTTTATATTGGGCCCGACCGAAGCTCAAGCTACCCCGACTAGTTATGTAAGATAAATGGGGGAGAATGTCGACTAGTTATGTAAGATAAATGGGGGAGAATGTCAATTGTTAATAATTGGAGGGAAAATTAAAATTTTATAGCAAGATTAGTGGTCACAAGAATTATTGTGGTGTTATTAATGGAAGCTTAAATATCTCTATCTAGGAATTTGGCCATAAATAAATTAAAATATTGAGTCTGAAAATGGTGGAAGTCTCCCAAATAATAGAGCAGATTGAATTTTCGCTATTTTCCTCCTCTATTTTCTCTTCCTCATTTTCCTATACAGAAAAAAGTTAAAAGGATATTAGCGTCTTTTTGAAAAGTCATGTGTAATTAACTAGCAATATAATTAGGGAAAATGCATAAGTACCATTGATCTATACCCGGATTTCCAACTAAATATTTTTTCTTTGCGGGAATCATATTACCCCCTAAACTTATTTTAAATGGAATTCTTTGCACCCTTAACGCTGACAATCAAACTCTTGGCAAGTGGTAAGCTACACGCGTCCACACTTGTATTTTTAGTACTTTTTTTATTCTTTCTTCTTTTTCTTATCCTTTTTTCTTATTTCTTATTATTCTCATTTTTTTTTGGTTATTTCATTCTCTTTATTTTTGTTTTGGTCACCGACCGCATAAAATGGTGGTCGTCGGAATTTCACAAATACTATTTTTTTAGTCGATTTTTTTTTTCCGACGATAGATTTTTATCCCGATCTAAGTGTGTTTTATTTTATATGATGAATTTTTCCCTCAAATCTGAGTGTATTTTACTTTGCTTATGATCTTTTCGAGAGTTTAAATTGTGTATGAAAAGAAAAAATGGAAGAAAAACGGTTAGACAAAGTCGTTGGTGAATGAATATCCGCCGGAATCAGAGAAGAAACGAAAAAAAAAAGTAAATGAAAAAATACAAAGAAAAAGGAAAAGGAAAAGGAAAAAAAAGTAAGAAAAAATGGTAAAAAAGAATAAAAAATAATCTAAAAATCATTTTTTTGAAATATAAACACTCTGTCATGAGGGTGCCAATAATTCTATTTAACATAAGTTTAGGGGGGGTAATAGGATTTCCGAAAAGAAAAAGTGTGTAGTTGGGAATACGGATATAGATCAGGGGGGTACTTATGCATTTTCTCATATAATTATTAGGATAGTAATTACTAATTACACAATAAAATTATGATAACCTATTTGTTTACCACAGCATAATTACAATATAATTCTCATTGTCATATTTGATTGCACAAGTGCTATTTCATGGTTAAATAGGCTTTTTTCATATTAACATATGGATAAATTTTACTGTATAACAAACATATATGTAAACAATAAATATCATATATTGATTTATGATGATATATCTAAAATAAATATCTCATGTCAAAAGATATCTATATCTATATATATATATATATATATATATATATTAAAGCAAGAAAGTTTGGATTGTGGTTAAGCCAAGTGGCAAACTACTATAAAGGCACTTGACAATCTTAAAGAGTTTATGGGAGATTGTCAAATAAGGAAATATCACTTAAGAACTATATATGAAATTCCATTTATTGAAATTAAATTGAAATAAGAATTCTTTTTAAAAAAAAAAGTTCAATCATTGTACTAATATTTTCTAACTGAATTTTTTTATTTGGAAAGTAAAGAATTTCGGTATCAATAGTATTTGGATTCCTTTTCTAATATCGAGTGGGAAGAGTATATCCTACCGTAATCTATTGTGCAATTTTAATTTATTTTAAAAATTTAATACTTTTTAATGAGTTGAAGAATATATTTTAAGGTTTTAACATAAAGTTCAGAATGTAGATATATTTAATAATTTATTTATTTCATAATGGATAATCCAAAGTATCTGTTTTGGACTAAGTTTTTTGAATTTTAAACAAGTATGCAATAAAAATAATTTCTTTAAAGGCTAAAAGCTTCAACAAAAATAATAATTACTAGAAGTTTAATAATAAAAATACCGTAATATTTTGGTAAAGTACTATATAGTTTGATCATATGCACTTTTATTTTTGTCTATTATTGAATAAAACACTAAATGAAAAAATTAAATAAAATATCATACTTACTAGGGGAAATAATTTAGAAAGAGGGGGGAAGATAGTGTGAGAGAATTTTATACTTTGAATTAATTTAAATGATAAAATAAAGCAAATAAATAATTAATACTCAAAAATATTATTGATAAATTCAATTATATAGTAAAAGATTAAAAAAACATAAAAAGATTATTTTAAGAGAAAAAAACCATATTCATTATAGTATATTATAATAGAAGTAGCAGATAGGGATATAAAGTAGGTGACAAACTAATAAAAAGTTAAGTAATAATGTAACCATATTAAGTAACGGGTAACGCAATAACGATAGACAAAGAACAAAAAATAGAGAATTGTTTTTGTCAACAAATAATATAATTGTAGATATATAGAAGGATTAGACATTTAAATTTGATATAAGAAAACTTTTTGTAATAAGAGAAAAAACATATTATATGGATAATATCACACAATTGAAAACATAATTTATAAACCTAAAATTTAAAACATTTACAATGAAATAACGCCAAGAAACAAATTAATAATATAAAGATGTAATTAAAATTGTCATGTAGTTAAGTTATAAAAAAAATTAAAGTCAAAACTCTGTAAGAAAACAAAAGAAAAAAAATTAATTGCTTATTGCACATAATACTAAATATGTGATGACCCAAAAGGTCATCACTTGTTTTTAAAATAAATTCTACGTTCTGAGGCCTTAAAAACTTCTTTTAGCATCACTTCGATTTGCGTGCACCGTCCGGTCATATAGCCGAAAAGCCTATATGTGAAAATCTGTGAAAAATAATAAATTTTGACTATAAAATAAATTAATTTGACTTCAGTCAACGTTTTAGGTAAATGGACCCAGACCCGTAATTTGACAGTCACGGAGGGTCCGTATGAAAATATGGGACTTGGGCGTATGCCCGGAATCGAATTCCGAGGTCCCAAGCCCAAGGAATGAATTTTTGAAAAAATTGTTTTCTAAAAAATATAAAGGTTTTTTTAAAAGTGAAATGCTATGTGAAACCTGTGGTATCGGATCCATATTGTGGTTCTGGAGCCCGGTATAGGTTCAATGTGATTTATATGTGTTGTCGGTAAAGTTTGGTAAGAAACAAAATCCATTTGACGTGATTCGGACGTCAAAATTTCATCGATTTTATGCAAATTTTGATGTTTAAAGAAGTTTTGAGAAATTTCATCGATTTTAGGATTTAATTCGATGTTCATGATGTTATTTTGGTGATTTAATTACACGAATAAGTCCGTAGGATATTTTTGAGGTTGTGTGTATAATTGATTTGGAGCCCCGAGGGCTCGGGTGAGTTTTGGATAGGCCACGGAGTGCATTTTGGACTTAGAAAATTGCAGGTTTCGTTGCTGGTATGATCAGGCCTGAAGGCTTCGCTGGCTCGCAAATGCAATATCGCAAATGTGAACCAGCCCAGGCCTGTCTTATCTCGCAAATACGAGATGTTCTTCGCAATTCCGACCTCGCAAATGCGAGGGTCCCTTTCGCAAATGCGAAGTTCCAAATTCCCTGAAGGGTTCACAAATGTGAGTCCTGTTTCGCAATTCCCAAGCTAGCAGAGATCGGGGTTCGCAATTGCGAATCCCTGTTCGCATTTCTCACATCTACAACCTGCAACGTTTATACTTAGACGAATTTTAAACCCATTTTCACATCTTTTCAAAACACAAACTTCCTAGTGCGATTTTTCAAGAACAACTCTTCTTCCAAATCGATTGTAAGTTAATTTTAACTTATTTTCTTCAATCATTAACATCTTTTAACATGATTTCAACTCAAAATCAATGATTTTCATGGGGGAAATTGGGTGTTTTGGGTAGAACCTAGGTTTTTCAGAAATTGGGGATTTGGATCTCGATTTGAGGTCCGATTTCAAAACAAATTACACATTTGGGTTCGTGGGGGAATGGATAATCGGGTTTTGGTTCGAACCTCAGGTTTTGACCATGTGGGCCCGGGGCGATTTTTGACTTTTTGGGCAAAACTCTGGAAAACTCATTTTCATGCATTCGAATTGATTCATTTAGCGTTTATTGATGTAATTAAATAACTTGTGACTAGATACAAGTAAATTGGTGGTGGAATCAATGGATAAAGCTATAATTGAAACATGAATTGTGTTCGTGACATCAAGGTAAGTATTTGGTCTAACCTTAGCTTGAGGGATTAGGAGTCGAGTCCTATTTGCGATGTGATAATTGTTGAGTACGACGTATAGGCATGGTGACGAGTATCTATACGTTGGTGTCTAGCATGCCCGTGAGTCTTTATATTGTGATTATCATGACTTCGTTGTATCTTTCATGCCTTGGTGATGGTTTTTACTTGTTGTGTAAAGGTTGTGGAAGGAATTGTGACCTATGAACATTGAGGAGTAAGTGATAATTAAACCTCTAGAGCATTGGTTCGAGTTGTGAAGTAAATTGTGAATTAAAGGTGAGAAAGAGAAGAGATCATTATGTTGTCACCCTTGCTGGGCCATTGTTGATTTATTTGTTATCTCCCTTGTCGGGATATTGATGTTATTGATGTTGTTCCCTTGCCGGGACTTAATTGTTAAATTGTTATTCCCTTATCGGGATTCTTATTGTAATTTCATTTATTCCCTTGCCCTATTGTTTGTGATTGTTGTTTGAGTGAGGAAGAGAGTTAAAGCACGAAGGGTGATGCCGTGCATTGTTTTGTGAGGAAAGAGTGTAAAGCACGAAGGGTGATGCCGTGTATGATTGTGAGGAAAGAGTGTAAAGCACGAAGGGTGATGCCGTGCCGCACGATGTACCATTATGTACCGAATATATTGATTATATGGTGAGGAAAGAGAGTAAAAGCACGAAGGGTGATGCCGTGCACATTTCTTTTATTATATGATTGCTTTGGTGAGGACGAGAGTAAAAGCACGAAGGGTGATGCCGTGCATTTATTAATTTCTGATTCTTTGTTGATATCCGAGTTATATTGCCTCTTTCGTTTACTTGATGTCCTTCTATTCGGAATTGATATCTCTCCCGCAGCATGCTCCCCTCCTCTACTTGACTATTTATTTATGTACTTCTTTTTCCACTATATATATTGAATTTCACAGGTTATTTGGTAGTCTGATCCTAGCCTCGTCACAACTTCACCGAGGTTAGGCTAGGCACTTACCGACACATGGGATCGATTGTGCTGATACTACACTCTGTATTATGTGCAGATCCCGGAGCAGCTCTTGGATCGTAGTTTGGAGGCTACCTTCAGTCCACACGGAGATCCAAGGTAGACCTGCAGGCATCCGCAGGCCCTGGCGTCTAACTCTAGCCCTTATTCCCTGTTTCATTTTCCTTACTTCAGAAACAATGTACCGTTATTTCTTCAGACTTTGTATGTAGCAAATCTTAGACCGTCTGTGACATTGTGACACCAGGTTTTGGGTGATTAAGGCTTAAGTAGTTGTAATAAATGCAGATTTCAGATATTTCATTGTTTACTTCCGCTTAAATTTAAACTTCCGTTATTTATACGTTATCGCTTTATGTTTGTTAAAGAGAAATAAAATTGGTAAAAAGGTAATTGTTTGATGATTGGCTTGCCTTGCTCCCATTAGTAGGCGCCATCATGACTTCCGAGGGTGGGAAATCCGGGTCGTGATAAAATAATAATTACAAAAAATTGTAGATTTATGGAAAATAATAAAAGAACTTCTTTGTTTAAACTTTGGCATATTTTTAAAAGAATTAGAAAAATAATACGATAATGTTTATATTATAGATACAACACGAAATGTGAAAAATAATTAAAATATTATATGATAGAAAATAATGTATATAGAGGAGAATAGAAGTAATGTGAAGGGGTCTACACTTTAAATTTGTTTAATAAAATAATTAAATAGGAAAATAATATTATTGATAAATTTAACAAAATAATTGGAGCTACGGAACAAAAGAACAATGTTAAATTAAATTTTAAGGTAATACAAACTATATTTATTGTATTATACTAAAAGTAGAGCAATGAGTAAAGACATTAAGTAACGCGATAAGCTAATAAAAAGTCACATGGCAATATAGCAAGTGTGCATTATGGTTAAGCTAAGTGGAAAGGTAATATAAAGCCACTTGACAAATTATGACAATATTTGTTATTGTATTTAATTTAAATTGAAAGATAGAATATTTATTTAAATTTAAATAGAAAGATAGTAAATAAGATTCTTTTGAATCTAAATGGAAAGAAAGTTAAATTTGAATTGATTGATTAATTAATTAGGAAAGCTAATCAATACATAAATGTTCCAATTCAAACGGGGAGGCTCAACGAGCGAGGCGAATTGTTCTAAATAATGAGAAAGAGTTTTTTGAAATTTGAGTTCACAACAAAAATAACAGAAAAAACAAAAACGTGTTTGTTACTAGAAATAAGACTAAAAAATCTAGGTTCGAACCCATAATTATAATTACTCAGTTGTTGGATCAAAATTTAATTTTTGTAACTACCTTAGGAATAATGTTTAACTATGAATCGACTCAAATATTGGCTAAACAAATGTCAATTGTGTTTCCTTACGATAAAATTAATTATCCAATATTTTATAATTTATTTTATATCTCAATTATTTGGAAGCAACACATACATTCTTCTTTTTTTTTCTATTAGTGCTAGCAGTTGATATGCTAAGATATATAATAAGGGAGGATAGATTCTTCTCTAATGGCTCAGGTATGGACAATGGCATTTTAGCGCGTCGTTGATATTTATGTTCTCTCAAATATTATGAGCCAATTGATCGAGCAGCCGATGAGATCATATATATATATATATATATATATATATTATGTGTGTGTGTGTCAATTAGAATGAAATAGATTTAGATAGGTTAAACACGTAGATGAATATAATTGTACTATTTGCACAAAATAAAGTGGATCATAAAATCATAAGGTAAAATTCATTTAATTAAGAATTTCATGTAAGAATTCATCTTCTTTTAGTACATGTGCATCGTGGAAGAAAAATATCTAAAGCAGGTTAACATTTATTTATTTATTTATAATATATTAATCTTAACTATATCTCAAAGGTATCATTTAAATTGCTAAAAACAATGTGACTTTAATTGTGTGGTTAAAATTGAGGTAACTAGCAAAATTATTGAGCAAATTACGATCCAACTATTTTATAAGTAGGTAACTCCCAAAAGTTAAAATATATTGGTTGTTAATAAATTATCATGTATGTATATATTAATTTGTCACCGTGTAATTTTAGGTTGGTAGAAGTTGATGTTGATGTGAGAATTGATTATGTTGAGATAATAATATAATATATTTTATAACTTAAATTAAGATGTTACTAAATGTATTTTTATTTTTTATTACTCTATATAGTATGACTTCACTTAGTTTCAATATAGATGAGATTGTTTGACTTGACACGAAATTTAAGAACGAAAAAGAAAACTTTTGAAACTTATGACCCTAATAGTTTTGTGGGGCCATGATATTTGCATAGGTGTAAGAACTTCTCATTATATATAAAATAGGTAAAATAAAAAATTTAAAGTTAAATTATTTCCAAATACAAAAATGTGTCATTCTTTTGGAAAAAACTAATAAGAAAAATATTTTATGTAAATTGAAAGGGGAGGAGTATTTATTTTTGAATTATATTGTATTTTTATTTGTTTGTATCACCGACTATATATGAGGTTATATTATTTAAGTTTGTGTTAATAATTATTCATATAATTTGCTCTTTTTAATTTATAAAATTTAGCAGGATCATAATATTATCCGCACATCGTGCGGGTACTAATATTAGTTAAATAATATAATAGTATCATAAAACGATATCTTCCAAATAAATAATATTTTTAATTAAATTAATTAATAAAAAATTTAATAACGACTTTAATTCGTTTATTTAGTTTTGTGAATATAAGAAATTTAGGTATGAGCTTAAAAAGTATTTTATATAATTAATACTTATACTTGCAATTATAAAATAAAACTAATAAAATATAAAGTGTTAAGTAAATTTTTAATATGTGATAAATACATGTATACATAAGAAATATTACGACGACGACGACGGTCCAATGTAGTTCTACAAGTAGGGTCTGGGGAGGGTGAGATGTACGCATCCTTACCCTATCCTTGACGGGCAAAGAGACTGTTTCCGATAGATCCTCAACTAAAGAAAAGATGAAAGGAGCACTGATGTCATGTAATAAAAGTACAAGATATTTAAAAAATTGAGACTAAGATAGCAAGATACAAGATGAAAGAAGCACTGATAACAAGTAATACAATACAAGATATATAGCAATATCCATCTAAGGGTAAAATAATATGATACTAACGCTAATACTACTGGAACAAGAAGATATGGGAAAACACTCGACTTACTACTAACCTTCTACCCTAATCGTCAACCTCCATACTCTCCTATCAAGGATCATGTCATCGGTTAGCTCAAGCTGCGTCATGTCCCGCCTGATCACACCTCCCCATGACTTCTTTCGCCTGTCTTTATCCCTCTCACCAATTAGATATTATTTATAATTGGGTATTTAGATTATTTTTTCTTTAAACTAAAAGTATTAATAATTATAAGTTGATAATTAATATCGTAACAAAATAATTAATATCTTGACTATATTTTAAATAATTAATATCTTATTTTCATATGGTTTTTCAAACAGGCTCTTATTAATAACCTATTTGGCCAAGCTTCTAAAATCAGCTTATTTTGAAAAGTATTTTTTTTCTTTTTTATCAAAAAAGTACTTTAGTGAAAATTAATTTGTATTTGACTAATTAATTTTGAAAAATATTTTTGAGCAACAATTAGTGTTTGACCAGGCTTTAGAAACTGCTTCTAAGCGTATTTTTCTCACAAGCACGTTTCAGAAAATGCTTTTGAGGAGAAACTATGTTTTCTATTTTTAAAAAATTGCTTATGTTTCTACTAAAAATACTGTTTTTCTTCCTAGAAACTTGTCCAAATACCTTAACTATGAAAAAGTTAAATTTAAAAAAAAAATAAAAGTACTTTTGACGTTGGAGAAGCTTCGGCAAATATGCTACTATAAGTATAACATTGTTATTGATTGTGGAAAAGTAGTACTCCATGTAAATATAGTTATTGACGAGAAGTCAATTTAATTTCACCCCAAAGAATAAAGAACAAAAAAAATCAATTCAATTCACTTTCTTTCCAATTTCCTTCTCTACATCCTCCCCATCTTCTGAAACAAGCTTGAGGTCTATCAGCCGGAACCGATTGAACCGGCAACGGTTCAGGAATCTAAGTAACAAAAATCTGTTCGCCGGAGAAGAGAGGGCTTCTCCGATTTCGCCCTCTCAATCTCCGATAAAAAAACCCCTAGAAATCTCATACCAAAATCATATGCAGATTGCTATTCATATGGTTCAAATCTTTCCAATTTTTGATGCGCCGATCCAATGCCCGCAAAAAAATAAAGACTACTAACGGAAGTCAAACAATGGAATCGGTCAAATTCCAAGCCCGACCCAGCAGATCTTCGCATCGGAGCCCTAATCGAAACAATTCCAAATCAAACCTCATTTATTACACTTCAATAGCATTCGTTATCGCTTTCGTATGTTACGTTTTTGTGTTTTCGAGTAAAATTAGGTTTTCTGTGAAGAAAAAATACGGGATCGTGATTGATGGGGGAAGTACGGGTACGAGGATACATGTGTTTGAGTACGAGTTTAGGGATGGGGTGGGACCAGTGTTTGATTTTGGGGAAAAGGGTTTGGTTTCGATGAGGGTGAATCCGGGATTATCAGCATATGCGGAGGAACCGGAGATGGCGAGTGAATCAGTGGCGGAGTTAGTGGAGTTTGGGAAGAAAATTGTGCCGAAGGAATATTGGAGTGAAACGGAGATTAGGTTGATGGCTACTGCTGGAATGAGGTTGTTGGATTTGGATGTACAGGAGAAGATTCTAGAAGTGTGTCGAAAGGTATTGAGGGATTCAGGTTTTAAGTTTATGAATGATTGGGCTTCTGTTATTTCAGGTAATCCAGGAAAGGAATGTGTTTGCAATGCAGCCTATTCTTATGTTACTGTTGACAGTCTTAACGGGTTTCTATGGTTATATAATTCTGTCTATTTGAGTTTGTAAATCATAGCACAGATAAAAGAGTAAGCTTGTGGTAGGTAGCAGGCAAGGATGTAAAAGCTTAACTACCTCATCAATTTGAAAGTTTGTTGTTTATAAGTTACAGTTGACAGTTTTAATGGGTTTTCCGCACGAGCTTTGGCATGTTAAGTTTTATCATTGTGATGTAGTTATATAACTCTGCCTGTATGAGTTTGTAAAGCATAGCAAGGATCAAAGAGGAATCTTGGGGTAGGTCGAAGGCTAGGGTAAAAACTTTTAACTACTAATTTAGAAAAAAAGGTTTAATGGCTATAAGTCTTTCCAGTGCTGAATTAGAGTGGAATGGATATGGAGGATTCATATAGTTGGCCCCATCAGGTTTAGAATATAAACTACTTTTTGATGGATATGATGCAATAATACAAGTCTGTTTGTTCTGAAATAATAACTATAGCTTCAAACCTTTGGACTCTGAAGCAAGATGGTAGTATTTAAGTTAAAAAGAATTTCGTGTGACATGATACAGTTTCATGTTCTGGTTTTCGGCGTCTGATTTTGAGCTTATTTAAGTTGCCATGCACTACCCATTTTCGTTATTAATATTTTTGATCTTCGCAATTGCTATTTGCCTAATTAAACTTCGTTACTTGCTCATTCCTAAATTATTTGGGAGAATTAGAAAATATATTTTCAATGTGTTCAAATGATAGTTGGAGTTTGTGAATTCTTAAAAGGTAATTGCAAGGTACTGCGGAATATTTATAGTTCATTTTTTTTCTGAATCCTTGGAGGTGAGAAACCTCTCTGTTTAGGTTTGAGGGAAATGATAGAATCTTCTTGTCTTGTCAGATTTACTTTTTCCATAACGTATATATTGACACATTAGTTTCTTATACCTGTGAACCTCTGTTGGAAGCTATGCAGACACTTTATTGTGGAGTACAATCTTTGCTTCATGATAGCAGAAGTAACATCATATTTTTGTTGATTTGTAGGATCTGATGAGGGTTTGTATGCCTGGGTTATTGCTAATTATGCCCTTGGTACTCTTGGTAGTGATCCTCTGCAAACAACTGGGATAATTGAACTTGGTGGCGCATCTGCGCAGGTTGATCTCATCATTTTTGAAAAATTTATTTATCACCATATTGGGGATGTTTCGGCTTATTCTATTCCAGGCACTCTTGTCATCTAAAATGGATGCGGACATTATTACAGTTTTCTGTTTCAAGAGCCAAAAATAATGTGCGGACCTGTCATTTTCTTTTAAAAGGAGTGTCAGTAATTGCATTCAAGCTCACAGAAAATTTAATTGCACAATGAATAGGCTGTCTTATGTGTTTTTTTTTTTTTTGCATCTTAAATTGTTTTTATCAGTTTGCATGATGTAATTCCAGGATAGCATGAGAGCATGGAAGTTACTATTACTTTTGTTGTATGATATATTCAGGTGACTTTTGTTTCTGACGAGCCTATGCCCCAAGAATATTCTCGGACAATTAAATTCAGAAACTTTACCTACAAGATCTACAGTCATAGCTTGCTTCAATTTGGTCAGGTAACTTTTCTTTCCTCTAGTTGTTTATCATGAACACTGCAAGATTTTCCTTGATTATCTTATTCTCTAAACCTAAGTGTCATTGGTGATTACATGATCAGATAAGCGACTGTATTCTGAACTGCATGCCAAATGTTGTAAAATTGGTAACTGATGATTCAACGTTATTAGGAACACTTCTGCTCCCTGGACTTGATTATTGTACTTCAAAGTAGATAACCAATGTCGCTCCCTGTGCTTTTGATCTAGTGGTAAGAGTGCAGAGCATGATGTGTGGCTTTAGGTGCACGTCATGAATTTGAACCCTGCCACACAGCCACAAACAAATCCTAGAGAAAATCCTGGTATTTAAATAAAGAGGGCTAGGGCGGCTGGCCCATTATCCACTGAGTTTCCAACCATGTGCCAGCTAGCCCTAAACATTCCCAGTTATAGAAAAAAAGTACAAAAAAGTAGATAACCAAGATTTCGCTGCAGAATTAGTCTGCATTAGAAACCAAGCATTCTTTAATAACAATGTGAATCTGATCTTCTCCTCGTTTAGAGTTTTAATTAGCACTTATATGCATTAAAAGCAACATTTTGAAATTGTATTGCAGAGGACTTTCAGTATTCTGACCTGGTATTCGTTGTCCATCATGCCCTATTTTATTATCTATGAAACATAGCTATATGTTAATGTTTCATTGCTCGTGATTTTTTGCAGAACGTTGCATTTGACTTACTCCTGGAGTCCCTTGTCGCGAGCAGCCAAGATCAAGGTAATGTTGGAATCTCTTTTCGTTTAATCTTATATGAACTTCAAGTACTTCATGGTAAGACGTTAGTTGATTCTTGTTACAGCATATACATCTTTCTAACTCCCATGAGATGAATATATAGATATTTGCTTTAAAAGTTGGAGCTTTGGATAGCTGTTCTTTAATTTTCTCTTGCAACCTTATAATCTTTACTATGCAGGAGTTCTTTTTTTTTTTTGGGGGGG